GCCACATGAAGAAGCCACCATCGAAGAAGAAACTCTACTCAGTTTTGAGAAGGGAAACGGTGAAGATCTTGATGAAGCAGATGAACCCCACATGAAGCAGAAGCCAACGAGACGGAGACCAGTACGGAAGAAGATACGTCCCATAAAATTAAGAGACTTTGTTGAATTGTAATTTTGTGTTTGTAATTCTGTACATTTAATTAAGTTATTGTTAATTGTTATTGGTTTATTGTATGTGATTATTGTTCAGGACGAACAATATTAAGGGGGGCAGTATTGCGTCAGCGAAGTCACATGACTTGTGTCACACCACGTTTCTAGAACTATCCTGTACCTTGGCAAATGCTCTAGCATTTACTAGATATAGGGTAGTCTGGTATATAAAAGAGGGTGACAACGTGACGGGATATGAATGTGTGTGTAGGTAGTGAGTAATTGAACTGCAGTCAGAAGTATTGTTGATGTTCGTTGATATAGTGTTTGTTATAGAGCGACTGTTGAAAATAAGTGTATCGTAAAGTTGTAATCGGAAAGAATAAACCAGTTTTATTAAGTAAGGACTTGTGTCGCTAAAGTTTCGTCAGAACGAAGTTACGGAAAATCAATTAACAAACGAAGACGTAACAATACCAATTTCATGTTGATGAGGTCAACAGAAACTGTAAGAGAAGTTCATGCAGATTAAAGTTCCACATAAAATTCTTGTTTAGTTAGAGTGGTCGACCTTGCTAAATGACCTGTTATAATCATCTTATTTTAGTATAGAAAAATATTTTTTTCTACACAACAGCAACATCTCCAGACAAAATCTAAATAACTGCCATTTTGTTTCTGTTGACATCACTGGCCTGAAATTGGTATAAAAAATACAGTTTTTTTCAATATAGTCCAATGAGATACTTCTTGAGTACTAACTCTGATAATATTGACTTTTATTTTGATCTAACTGGTCTTCCTTTGTGATTTTCTTCATTCATAAAACTAGAAAATAAACTTTAAGTCTTATGTTGTGTTTTATAAATATACAGTGGCTGTCTTTTGATTTTAGAGTATACGCACAATAAATTGCAAGTGAAGAAAATTGAATTTATCTAGAAGTTCAGTAGTGATATGTGTCTTTTTTCTACAAATATTTTAACATTAATTATGTATAATATGTTTTAGTAAACATGATCTTTGGATGTCTTCTTTTAAACATCTGCCACATGAGCCAGCCCAGCATTATATGTGGTTTGAAAAAAATGAGTCATTCTGGAAAGATTTGTATTGTTTTGATTAGACCAAAAGAAGATGTTTGGCATTATTTTTGAGGTCTAGGTCACTGGATTAGACATGTGACTGGACCTGTGACCTGACCCAAGACCATGAGAGCCAATATGGATAAATTAACTTGTAAATGTAAAGTAAAACAATGTAGTAATGCTACATGCTTGAATTGTTATAAAAGTGGGCTGTGAATGTGAGGGCTTAAGTGTAGCAATTAAGCTAAACCCTGTGTCCAGGTCAGATGAGGGAAGAATTTATTTGAAGATATCCCAATTGATTTGACATACCAACTGAATCAGACATTTGTTGATTAATTACTGCATTGACAGTGAAACATAAAACAATGGGCACAATAGTATTTTTATCTTCAAAAATGAGGATTGGAATCATGTATAAGAAATAATTAGTTTCAATATTGTGCGAAACTAACAGCACAGTAAAACCCAAAGATGCAGTGTTGAAGTTGAAGAAGATGTATGACGGATTATAAGATGATTTCCCTAGCAATTCTCAAATTAAAAATGCCATTTCTGCAATGAAGAGTGAATATAAGGAGGATGGTATAATGTCCAGTATGGTTCCTTCATAGTATAATCCATATAGATTTCATCATATCATATTTTCATTAATATTTAGTTTGTTTTTATTTGGAAGTTGTGCTGAGCTTCATTGATTGAGATCCATCAAAATAACCCTAAGTCACTGGTTTCCATAATGATCCTCCTAGGCTCTGTACTAAAGGATGCTGAGCTGGCTCGTGTGGCAGTGTCAAACAGAGAAATCATAATATATTTTCATTTTTTAAATTATTTCAGACTGATACATTGTACTTTTTCTGAAATAGGCTGAAACATTACTTCAAGCCATTGATAAAGAGATTGATCTTCAATTGATGTTCTATATGCAACTCACAGAGACAAAGAAAATTTTTGACAATGTGAATTTTTTAACCAGAAGTCTCTGTTACCATCTTAAGGAAGGACTGTATTTAGATACAAAAGCTCTCTCATCAAAAATTTCTCTTCTGGTTTATAAGCCTGTCTCTCTCATTAAGGAAGACTTTTACTCGGCTGTCTTCACTCACTTTATTTCTAGTGATGCGAAAGTAGGAGTAAGTAGCAATAGCAAATTAAATTAAAAAAAGGAATTTATGAAGTAATTACAATTACATTTTCATTCTGAAAATAAGTTTCTTAATTGATTTTTCCATTCCATATGAAAACAAACTTTTACTTAATCATTTAAAATGTTTAATAGATAGTTTGTGTGAAACTAACATTAGCTTCATATACTCATTACATCTTAATTTGTTATGAACATTATATTTAACTTGATCAAAAAATTGGATTGACCTTAAATACCCTGATGCACAACTGAAAATAACTTACTTGAAATTGATTTTAGTTCCTGATCCAATTTTAAATGTCATCTCCCCAGTAGACTAAATATAAAATACAATAAACTAAATTATTGTAACAATATTAAAAGAAAGATACAATCATTATTAATATGGCATCATAGGATACATTACACAAGGGTACAACACATTACACAATCATTGTTAACATGACATCATAGGATACATTACAAAAGGATACAGCACATGACACAACCATTGGTAACATGGCATCATAGGGTATAACATATGACCACATGACACAACCATTGTTAATGTAGCATCATAGGGTACATCATGCAAGGGTCCAACACATGACAAACTTTTATTAATGTGGCATAATAAGGTAAATTACACAGGGGTACAGAACATGACACAACCATTATTAACATGGCATCATAGGGTATATTACACAAGGGTACAACCATTATTAACATGGCATCATAGGGTATATTACACAAGGGTACAACACATGAATAAATGTAATATCAAGGATGTTACTGTAATAAAACAAAGCCTTCAACAAACAAAATGAAAGGGGTAGACTTCTATTTGTTTTAGGGTCAAGGTTATGTTTATGAAATCACTAGCAGGTTTATATAAATATTTTATATCCTTGTATAATATACTATATGAATACATGTTAACAGTATTGTACCCTTGTATAATGCATCAGATGATGCCATATTAACAATGTTGTGTATCCTTGTATAATGCATCAGATGATGCCATATTAACAATGTTGTGTTGTGTACCCTTGTATAATGCATCAGATGATGCCATATTAACAATGTTGTGTTGTGTATCCTTGTATAATGCATCAGATGATGCCATATTAACAATGTTGTGTTGTGTACCCTTGTATAATGCATCAGATGATGCCATATTAACAATGTTGTGCATCATCTGGTGCATTATACAAGGATACAACACATATCACAATGTTGTTAATATAGCATCATCTGATGCATTATACAAGGATACAACACATATCACAACATTGTTAATATGGCATCATCTGATGCATTATACAAGGGTACACAATTGTATTCAGTGTTTTATGTGTAGTATTTTTCTTTTAATTCTCTTTTTAGTTATATATATTTTTAAAAATTTTAAGTACATGATATCTTTTCACGGGCAAAAGAATTTGTTTGTATGAGGCACCTTCTTCCAAAAGTATGCTTACCTAGCTCCTAAATAAAAAAGTTGATTATTTAAAAATGTATCTTTGAAAATGTTCATATAAAGGGAAGAAAGTTACATTTTATATCCACTGTTGTACCGAAATTAGAACATTTTTTCACCGTCACCAAAGACTTTATCAGACTTCACATGTGTAAGACTGTCATAATCAAAGTTGAATGCTTCAAGATAAATTTTTTAAATTCATTATTAGGTACTTTTTAGCTCAACCCTGTTAAATCGACTGGCAATAAAGACATGTGCTGATGGACTGCCTTGTCATACAGCATGTATTGGTATTTCACTGTACACAACAGACTTCTGGAGTCCTCAGACTGGATTGTTGAATAATCCTGAAAAGGTCTATGACATTGTGGAAATTCATTTGTTTAGTTCAGACTCTGTTACTCCTATCAGACCTGAGAAACAAAAAGATGCTGTCACCATTATATTTGGTGGACATCCATTACTCCCAACTGTTATTCAATTGGTAATCAGTTTTACAATTATATGGTTAAAATACATCGAAATTTGTGATATCTGAAGACATTTTTACATGCATGTTAGTATTTTTCTATTTTTGAGATATTGTTAGTATACGAGTTGATTCTAAATATGTAAAAAAGTAATCAATGACCTTTTCTTTACAGAAAGTAAGATTTTAGTTGGTTTGTTAATTGAATTACTGTAGATTCTCTAATAATGAATTTGATGTACATGATATTAATATATTTATTTACTGTGACAGTTTTAACCAGTGATATAACTAAGGTTAAAATTAAGTTTTCAGTGGTCAGTTAAATTTCTTGAAACAGAGATTATTTGCATTTGAAATCTATGTATTAACTACTTTGTATTAATATAACCAATGACTTTACAGAGTCTGGGGGTAAGTCCCATATTAAATGAGTCCTATAGTTCCACTGTTCTTGAAACAGACGAGTTTCATGGTACAACTTGGAGAAAAGAGGTAAGTATTATATATATAGATATCTGTAAGTTTGCATGTGTGAAAAAAACTTCTATATAATGATTAAAATTAAATTTATAAATGACATGGTATTTTAAGTGTTTTGTGCAAATTAGCTTCAAACAAAGCTACTAGATATATTTTGCAAATTACAGTTTTAAATTATGATTTGTCACTACATTATTGGTGTTATTTTGCTACAAAAATGTACATATAGCCACCAGCATGTTGCCTAGGTTTTAATTATTGTCTTTTTGAATTTGTGATACTACAAAATATTCTTGTTTTGCTATTTCATATAGCGTACTGGCTTGATTATAGAGCGATCTCAAATATATAGTGACCCCTATTTTCAGAAATCATTGGAAAGAAAAAAATTGAGTGTCATAACGTCCTTTTTTGTAGGTTTGCAAAATTAGTATGAAAACTGAACAGCCTGCAGGTGGATTATTTGCAAAAATTAGCAATGACCTTGAGCAAGCATCTGGACATTCAAGAATGAGACAGGCTAGAGCAGGGGGAAGGGGCCTGTGGTTGGCTGCGATTATAAGGCGACTATGAATTTTACAGCCTAATTATTAATCAAAAAACATCATCTAATAATTGGGCAAATATGGTGTATATATACACCTGGAAAAAAGTTAAGCACCCCCGTGTTTTTTTCAAGTGATTCAGATTCGACGTTCTTGTGACTGATTATAAATTACCATTCAATCTAAACGTGTTTATCAAATGAAATTATGCATTATTGG